ATTATTATTATTATTATTATTATTATTATTATTATGAATGACTGCATTGTAAATCTTCATCAAATTTGACCCATATCGTCAAACGTTAGTAAAGCGCGGAAAAATTATGTTTTAACTTTCTTTTTATAATTATTTTTTTACTTGTTTTGAAGCAGCTGAAAATCACTCATTAACAATTCAYAAAAAGGAAGTCAGGTTAATGCATTCTATTCTATGCTCAGAAACAGCTTCGGCTGAGTTTTAAAATCAATTGAATTTTTCATATAGCTCTAAGTGAATCTCACACTGATCTGCTAAAGACTTAACAGATGGAGCGAGGTTTAATTAACATTTTCAAAAAAACTCGCAGAACAGAAAAATAATTAACATAGCTAGAAAAATCATATTAGAAATYTTTGATCGCAAACTAATAAGTTAGAAGTAAGTTAGTTCAAAACTCGTAAAAATACTAGTGGAAATTTCGTWAAAAAACATCTCTTGGTTCCAGCGAATTTTTTCCTCATGAAAGTCATATCTTTGCCGGTTTTAACTCTTTTATCGTTTAAACTTCATRTTTTAATGAGGAAGGTTGATATCCTTTTTTTAAATTAATTTCAATATCGGCCATTTCCAGCAATTATTTTGCGGATTTATTAATCTAAATTTACCCCACAAAAGTACATTGGATTTAGAAGTTGATTTTTGGGAGGAAAGGAAAAGTGGAAACATCTGTGAGAAAAACTCTCGGCTCGAAGCACAGGAAAGAATCAACAGCATATTTTCTTACATATTATGACAAAAGAGTGACCACATGGCGAAATAAAAAGTCGCGCAAAATCTATAAAAGTATTAACTTTTGTTTCAATTTAAGTTCTTCTTTGCACAGTAGTTATTTGCAACACGAAATGATTCCCAAGCGATATGAAGGCAATGCTTATTTGTATACTCGACTTATGAAATCTCTTAAAGCATCAAATTTGTATCGAAATTTGTACATCTTCAGTTTTTTTGTTTTTGTTTTTTTTGTTTTTTTGTTTGTTTTTTTTCTGATAAGGGCATGGCTATAACTCACAGATCGAACCATGAAACAACCTCTAGTCTGATCTAAGTCAGGGCATGGCTAACTCACAGATTGAACCCTGAAACAACCTCTGCGCTGATTAAAGTCAGGACACGGCTAACTCCAGCACAAATCAAACCCTGAAACAATTCAACTTTGGGCTCGTTATGTATATAAGTAAAGACATGGTTAACTCAAAGAATCAGTTTAGCGTTGGAAATCTGGAAAACCGCAGAAAAGGCCCTCGAATCTAAGAAAAGACTTAAGCAACTCTACTCACATGTGATCCGACTCAATCGAGAACGATATTCCAATTGAGATGAGACGAGTTTATTGCCACTATACTGCACTTGATTCGGATCCAAAGAGATCAATCCAGAGCCAAATCTTTTTCGAATCAGTTTAAAATCGGCCACCACGTTATATATTATAATCTTGAACAATCTTCTATCAAACCCCTTTTATTATCGTGAAGCAGTATTGACGTATGGTCTTAGCAGGATACCAATCTTCGTGTTTTCATTTTCGTTTATTTGCTTTTCTGATATGACTTCTATTTTGATTTTGATTTCCGAGAGAAGATGAAGAAAAAGACCCTATCACCTAATGAAATTCGGCGTCTGAGTAATAGGCTAAGTTTCTAATTAAGTCGTCATGTTGTGTACTTTAAAAAAAATGATATATAGTTTTAGCAGTTAAACTGCTGTCGCTAAGTCGGTGCCTACAAAACCAAAGACCTGATTTATTTCTCACGGGAAGTAGAGATAGTTTAGTAGTATAGCTTGGCAAAACATTTTTTCAATTTAGACTACGTATCACTCTCTTAAGAATAAGATTCTTTGTTTGAGTTGTATCAATATTCATGTGTCTTCTCGTGTGCAACCATTAAACAAAGAAATGATTCTCTTGTGAAATGACACGTGGTATGAAATGGGAAGACAGTTCAATTCGTTCAAACTAAAGTTAATTTAAAATAATYTTTTATGTAAGCAACAGTTTTAGAATAGGATATAGAATTTTTTAAACATATTCATATCGTYGTTTTTTCTCATAAAAATATTGGGCTTTGGGGAGTATTTTTCCCTGTATTACAGCAATTTTCATAAACATGCGAACCCTGTGTCTGCTAGCTACACGCTTAAATTTGGTTTTTCGTTGCCTCCAGTCAAAAATATGAAAGCTACCGACTGATTAGGTTTAATTGATGGCAGCGAAAAAACAAATTGCAGCGTTGAGCTCGCAGACACAGGGTTCGCATGTTTATGAAAACTGCGGCAAATAATAAGTTTAAGGTATCAATTCTTAGAGCTACTCTGTAAATTCGAGTATAAATATATTTTGAGTCTATGTTGATGTATGTATATGTAATGGTCTATACCAGCTCACTAGATACACTGTGCTGACGAGGCCCAATACAGGCCGAAACAGCTGTCCACGGTTTCTAGTTGAGCTGTCTCATTATACGCGACTTGAAGTTGTGAAAGGCCTATTGGCCCTCTTCTTCAGTCGTTTCATATAAGGCTCGTAATTTACCCATTTCGCATGTTCTTATAGCATACAATACAATTACTTTATTTCAAAAGGGAAACGCAATAACCCGTTTTACAGTTTTCTAACGTACACTCCAAAACATATATAAATAGATGTACAATAATAGAAACTATTATATACAATAAATACTATAATATCGGTTCGAAACATAAATATAACAGGAATTAGATTATAGATAAATAATATATAGAATAAATACCATATATTGATGGGTTGCAAGCCTTCCCAAGAGAGCCAAAAGACAAAAACATGGCGGCCATTGCGGTGCCTTTGACAGTGGATGCTAATGAGAAATCTTTTGTTAAATGGTACCAACATGGCCGCCATGACGTAACGTGTAATCGAAGAATTGGTTCGAAATATAATACTCATGATAACGAGGGTAGATGGATACAAGCAGTCAAACAAAGAATCTTATTCTCAGGAGAATGACACGTGCTTTAGTAATTATATTTACCTTTGATATCTTAGATGTACCCCTTTTGCACGTTGACACTTTGTACTCCTTTGACTTTGGCCTGAAAAATAGCAGAATTGACTTGTGGTCTCTGAAATGGGAAAACATTACACCCAAGGTAAATGGACCAAATCCAATTGGGCTTAATGTTTTACCCATTTCAGACCACGTGTCATTCTCTTGAGAATAAGATTCTTTGTTTGAGTTGTGTCCATATTCATGTGTCTTCTCATACGCAACTRTTAAACACAGAAATGTTACTCTAGGGAATGACACGTCGTCTGAAATGGGAAAACAGTGGATTAGGCCTATAAGTTTATTAGTCGTGTTTGATTCGAAGACTGACAAGCGAAACAAAAACAATCTACTAAGATTTTGTTTATTCTTTATTTTTATTTCACAAACATTTTGATCTTTTTTACAAAATATTTCAGTGATTAGCCTTGTGTGCGTCATCTTTACTGGAATAGGAAATGTTTTATATGTTTTATTAGGCTCAGTAAGTGCTTTGACGTTCTTGATACTCTGTTAAGTGATAAAATCGTTTATCCTATCAATATTAGTTTCTTTACAATCCCTCCTCCGTATAGCCAAAGGCATATTGCCTAGAAAATTCTTTCTTGAGTTGCCTGTGGCAAACCATTCTAAATTTACGTTTTACTGATTCTCAACAAATTGAAAAAGTTAGGCAATAAACCTGAAGCGTGATAACGAGATAATCCTYTTCACATTGCTTTTGTTCTTTAATTATGACTATTGTTCCTGTATTCTCTAAGGAATCAAAAATTTTAATGTGAAAGAATTTTAAAAACCATTATGGCATAGAGTCGGGGGTAAAACGTCATCTCGCTTAAGGCTTATTGCCGGGATTCAATTAGCCTCCTACGTAGATATTCTTAGGGTTTGTCWCGCAACGTTGTTTGTGGGGAGGAAAGAGGACAACGTTGCGTGACGGCGTATGAGAGTTATTAATTTTATCCCAGTTCACTGATTTTGAGATTAAAGTAATTATTGCTATAAACGTACAAAGGAACAATGAAAAGATTTTTAAATTTGATTTCAACAAACTATTTGCCTTGCATGTTCGCGAGTGTGCGTGCCACACATTTTTTCTTTATTTTATATAATGAGCCTCCTCAAGGGAAGTGCTTAGCCTGTCGACGTCGGGTTCACGCTCTCCCTATTGGATAGTCTTTCCGCACATTCATGTTTTCTAATTCAGTATACATGTACCTTAGTTATAGCTATTAAAAATAAACTTGTAAAAATAAAAATAAATTATAACAGAATATAAGTGCCAATTCGACAAGTTAACGAAGGGCATTTTTAAAACATTCAGCTTCACACTATAGTTTCTTTACTGAGGGGAAAAACTTACCTTAATAATTACCAAAAAATGAAATAAATATGATTTCCGATAAAATTTTGAACATACCATATGAATCATGCAAGCGTTTGTGAATGAACATATATTCGATCGATATCAAATATAACACCCAAACGCAATAACGCCACCTGAATAAACAAATACAAGCTTTACACACGTATCCGTATTCGGAGCGTATTGAAAATTAATTTCCACTCTGAAGACCGTTCACGAAAATTTCCGGATACGGATACAAAAATTCCCGGACACGTGTGGACGCAACCCGTACCTGCAAAAAAAAAAAAAAAAAAAAAAGAAAAAAAAAAAAAAATTGGCGGATACAGAAATTTCCGGATACTCGTGGATGGGACTTAAAAAACACTCAACTCTTCGCTTGCACGTTACGTCTTCGCGGCGTCTCGGAGTAGCGTTGGTGCCATTTAACAAAAGATTTCTTATTAGCATCCATTGTTAACGGCACCACAATGGCCGCCATGCTTTTGTCTTGGGAATGCTTACAACCCATCAATTCTTKGCCGTGATAATGCCGTGACAAAGTAAGGTTTAAGAGCAGTGTGACATACATAACGCAATACTGTTCTCTTAAAGAAAAATAACTTTTTACTACTCCTTCAAAGTGGGGTCTTATATGTAGTTATACATAGCTATCTCATTTCAAACCMCGTATCAATTCCCTAGAGTATTATTTCTTTTTCTTTTACGGTTGCGGATGAGAAGACACATGAATATGGATACAACTCAAAGAATCTTTTTCTTGGCTTCGTATTCTGAAAACAAAAACATCAATTTATTCTCTAGTCCTTGAATGCGAGTCCACGCGTGGTGGAAACTATCGTTCAAACCAATACGGCTGCCGAGTGAAAAAGGCTCAGGTATGACACGTGGTCTAAAATGGGTAAAACGTCAAAGCTAAAGACGTCTAGAGAGTGTGTGCTGCCATGTGACTCAAAATCCCTTGAGATATGAATAACGATGAAACGACAGCCATCTTGTTTGATCTAACAAGAGAAGCTAATGAGGCTTTGTTATCGTCAACCAACATGGCGGCTATGACGTAACATGCACCCCAAGAATAGGAGGATGCCTATCAAACAGCCGCCATGTTGGTTGATCTAACAAGAGAAGCTAATGACGAATGNATGCACCCCAAGAATAGGAGGATGCCTATCAAACAGCCGCCATGTTGGTTGATCTAACAAGAGAAGCTAATGACGAATGCTTTGTTATCGTCAACCAACATGGCGGCTATGACGTAACATGCACCCCAAGAATAGGAGGATGCCTATCAAACAGCCGCCATGTTAGTTGATCTAACAAGAGAAGCTAATGACGAATGCTTTGTTATCGTCAACCAACATGGCGGCTATGACGTAACATGCACCCCAAGAATAGGAGGATACCTATCAAACAGCCGCCATGTTGGTTGATCTAACAAGAGAAGCTAATGACGAATGCTTTCTGATCGTCAAAGCAAGATGGCGGCAATGACGATATTTCATTCGTAGCATTTCTCAGTCTGTAMAATTATCACAAATGCACGATTGTGTCATATCTGGTACGTTTATTTGAGTGCTTTTTTTCACCCATAAATACATAATCAACCCTTCTTGATCTCAGAATGAATCCAATCTAAYTGATATTTCACCTTAGCATAGACACCAAATTTTCCAGGTCTCCCACAACCATTACCCCAGCTCGTTGCACCTTGTACATAGAACCGCCCTCCATTTTCACACACCATGGGCCCCCCCGAATCACCTTGGCATGAGTCAATACCACCCCGATCGAGCCCTGCACACATCATTGAGTCGTGTATTYGTCCGAGATAAGCGAATCTACAGCGATTTTCGCTTACGATTGGGACAGAAGCTTGTTGAAGGTAGTCAGGCGATGGACCATGTGTCCGACCCCACCCAGTTATCCAGCATTTTGTGCCATCACTGGGGAGTGATACACTATCCGGTAAACAAACCAAGTTCACATACCTGAAAAATTATTATTAAGTTCATAAATTGTAACAACTTTAACAAAGCGGATCTACTTAGATAGATTTTAAGATAGGACTCTGGGTTGACCTAAGTCAGGGCACGACTAACTCACAGATTGAACCCTGAGACAACCACTCGGCTGATCTAAGTCAGGGCACGRCTAACTGACAGATTGAACCCTGAAAAGACCTCTGGGTGAGTTGAGTGTTGTATGTTGTAAATATGTGGTGTTAAAGCGTGGACATGTGGAGCAAACTCCACGGAAGAGCCCTTTACRGGTAGTGATGGTTGTAAAACATTATTAAMTATCTTAAGGTATATATATAYATATTGACATACCTATTGAGCTTGGCAGGTTTTTCAAGTTTTAGTAGAGCAATGTCATTTGAATAGCTGATTGGTTTGTGGTAACTAGGATGCGTGATCACTTTGATAATCTTGAAGTCCTGTTCAGTACCAACTTTAACACTGCGTCGATGAGCTCCCAATCTACACACATAAAATTGATACAGTCAAACKTCTCTTCACCTTCGGGAAGTAGCCCAGTGATCGCTTAATAGAGGTTGATCGCTTCTAGCTGACAGCAAATTTTGTATTGTGTGACCAATTTTGAGCATTTAATGAGTTTCAAAGACTTTTCAAAGACCGTTTGCATGATGGTATCATTTTATTACAACTACCAAAACGCTTTGCAAATTTTCTTTTTTTATTCAAATTTGTATTTTCTCATGAGAATAGTAAGACAACTGGTGCAAATTAATCGAACAAAAGAAAGTGTGCAAGGGAGTCTGGTAGTGGTATTAAATGACGCTATAATGCAAATGAAACATTGTTTGAAACACAGTAATATATAGTTGTAAACTACGTACTACGTAGGACACAAAAGAAAGTGTTAGGAGAAGTAGGATGTTCAATGTGGGAAGCACTTTTTTCTCTTCAATGTAGAGACATTTTAATGTACCTAACAATAGTTTTGATAGCCTTAGATCCCGATACACAATGAGAAGCAGTTAATATCCACTGTGGATGAATAAGTGACCCTCCGCAGAACGGTGAAGAACCCGGACTGGACTTTAACTGAGCTTGCCATGGCCAATCTCCGTGTTGGGATGACGTCCCTCCAACGATCCTTGTCTTTGGTCGGATACCACACGACCCTGTAGAGATAGAGGAATAAGCACGGGGTGGTGTAGCATTGAGAACGCTACCACTCGAGCTCGGACATGCGACCCCGGCAGCAAGACCGCACCGTTTGGAACCTGCTTTTTGAATACCCAATAGTGAAGCATTTTTTTTTTAGGTTAGGTTTTGGCTAATTGTTTGGAAGAATAATCTATTGYCATTTTAATTGTGTATTTTTTCTTTTTCAAAATCAATAATTACACTCGTCGCCAACGGTGCGGGATGCTCCGCCCGAGGACGATTCCCGGACTAGGTGTCATTTKTGAGTAGAGGTTCCAGTTATTTCGTTTCTATGCTTGATCAAGTTATAAATTCCGACACGAGCGAGCTTGCACAATCATCTACACAACCGTGCTCCATGCATTTCTTTTTTATAGAAGTAAGGCAATCAGAGCGCGGATCATAATGYAACTATGTTATAAAACATTGGAAGATTATTTGTTGTTTTTACCTGAAGGCGGAATCGGAGGACTTGGTCTCATGGTTGTTGGTAATACGACTATCGGTGTTGTAGCTGATGGGAAAGGAGGAGGAATGGTACCTAGTGGGTGATAAACAATTCGTTGTACGTTGCTAGACCATTTTCCAATTTTGTAAAATACCACTGTGTTCATTGATTATCTATTGGTCATTGCTTAAAGGCCGATTTCAGTAGACAGTACGATTTTCGCCTACAACCATCGTATACAACACGCTGGCGCCTGTCGTAGGCGAGTGTAGGCTTGATTTACACGCTACGACTCGAGTTGTGCGATAGTTGTAGGCGAAAATCGTACCGTCTAAACCGGCCTATACACAGTGTTAGCCTCATTTTAGCGTCAAAATCAATAAGAATGCAAAATTTCACCAACTCAAATACTTTGAAATTGCATGTATGGACACATTAATATAGGAAACAAGCTAGAGGCTAACCTTGAGCAACAGGGAAATTAAATGAGGACAAGGACAAGGACAAGAAAATAGATGGGGGATCAGGACAGGGACGGGGACAGGGACAGGGACAGGGACGGGGACAGAGACAGGGAAAGGGACAAGGAGAGGGACAAGGACGGGGACCAGGACAGGGACAGGGACGGGGACACATACCTTCTTCGTTACAGAGTCCAACTGACACATCATCAATTGCAATGTCACCTAGAAATCCCCTCCCTACAATGCCTTCAAGCTTGAGCTGTAATTACAATTAACATTAAACGGTAATACAAAATGTGCTAACCGAACCAGCGTGTTAGTACTTTTTTCCACCTAAAATGTTAAATTCCATTTGAATCTGTGAGTTAGCCGTGCCCTGACTTTATCCAGCCAAGACCTTGTTTCTGGGCTCTATCTGCAGTCATGCCCTGGCTTAAATCAGACTAGAGGTTTTTTCAAGGTTTGATCTGTGAGTTAGCCATGCCCTGACTTAGATCAGCCCAAAGGTTGTTTCAGGGTTCAATCTGTGAGTTAACAGTGCCCTGACTTTGATCAGCCGAGAGGTTGTTTCAGGGTTTGTTCTGTGAGTTAGCCATGCCCTGACTTAGATCAGCCCAGAGGTTGTTTCAGGGTTCAATCTGTGAGTTAGCCATGCCCTGACTTAGATCAGCCCATAGGTTGTTTCAGGGTTCAATCTGTGAGTTAGCCATGCCCTGACTTAGATCAGCCCATAGGTTGTTTCAGGGTTCTATCTGTGAGTTAACCGTGCCCTGACTTTGATCAGCCCAGAGGTTGTTTCAGGGTTTGTTCTGTGAGTTAGCCATGCCTTGACTTAGATCAGCCCAGACTGATAAAGGGCTCCAGGGTTTGATAAAACTTACCATTTGCTTTCCTCGATTTGCTCCTAACAGTGATACTTTAGCCATTTTCCATCCATCTCCCTGACTAGCCGTCTTACTGAATACTTTATTTGATCCCACGTACACATTGAGCTTCCCAACATGACGTCCATTCATGTGATAATAAAACGTTAGACACGTGTTTTCACCGCTTATATCCACGTTTCTCTCAAGTACAGCCTTCTTTCCTTCTTTCTTCCCTGACGCCTCGACATACATGTAATATCCTTCAAATAATTATTACATGAGGTTGGAYAAGCTTGGCATAAAAAATATGTATAAATATGTAAATAATTTTTGGGGAAGTCATGGTGGCTAGCGAGGTCTAGATCTAATACCTTTTAAACAATTATTGGATAAGGCCGGATAGGCTTGGCATAATAAATATGGCATAATTAGATAGTAACTAGGAAAAGCATAACTTGAAAAGATACGTTTGTTGAATTTTTAGAAAATTTAAATGTACCTCTTTCAGTAGTATGGTCTGAATTAGGGCCAGTACCCTGTGAAGGTGTTCCCCATTGATATCTTCTCCAATTAAAGTCATCATCAGCTCTTTGAGTGAATCCACATGAATCCTTATCAAAGTTGCATGAGAATGCTTTGGGATAAAATGAGTGTTATTGATAAA